ATCTGTCTTTCAGAGAAATACCTGTGCTCAACCAGCACTTGAAGCCCTCAGGAAGGGCCTCCTGTTGTTAATTAATTAATTGATTAAATGAGAGGTGTCCACAGACCACAGTTTCCCTGGATGAGGCTCCCTAGAAATATGTAACAAGAAGTGTTTGATCTGCCTTGAGGAGCTGAAAGTTTAACTGGAATATTTCAGTGCCTGTGGGGGCTATTTGAGGCACAACTCTCACGATGCTTGTTTTGCCTTGCCACAGACAGATAAGGACCACAGAGGAGATGTATATGACCTTTTTCCTGGGACTTTCCAGACAGTCGAACTCTTAGCAGAAAACCCTGGAACGTGGCTTCTGCACTGCCATGTAGCCGATCACATCCACGCCGGCATGGAGACCACCTACACCATCAATAAGTCAGGTGCAGTATCAGAAACGTGTCCTAGGACTTGGAGGTGGTATCGCAGCAGATCAGATGGAAGGCAGGGAGGAAAGGAGGAGAGCTAACATCACTGCTGCACCCTGCACGCTGGTGGGAAGCACCTGTACATTACTGCCATGGCTAGTTAGCATCATCTAGGGACAGGACAAACACCCCTAATGACATGGCAAAGACAGTAATCTTTGCTGCACGCTGCAACTTAAAAGCAGTTGGTGCTTCACAAGAGTCCTTCTAAGACAGTGGCAACCTGCAGACCGTTAGTCATCCCCAGGTGGTGCAGAAAACAACTGCAAAGCTATTTTTCAGCCTTGCTGCCACAGGGTGTGCGGGAGGGGCCGCAGGTTGGTGTGGTGGTGGTTCCTCCCTGCAATCACTGCTGGCTCCCAGAGCTATTTGAGCTCCTTCCTGCACAGGCAGAGGCCAGATGAGATGCAAGATGCTCCAGAAAATGATTCTTCATCCTGTCCAAGAAATAGATGATCCTTTGACTAAGAAAAGTTGGCTTTTTGAGTGGTGCTGGTCCCTTCCACAACTTGTGATTGAAGACTAAAGTGCTTTGTGAAGCCTCCCCACATCACATAATTTCACTAAACATCTGTATCCAGCACCTCCTGCCTGGGTTCCCATTGTGCTTGCTACATTCCTCCGCAGGGGTTGCAACCGTGCCAGCAGGCGCACCTCGTACCTCTAACCCTGTAGCAGCAGGATGACAAATATAATGCCAAATGTAGCCAAAATACTCCTTCCTCTGATAAGGTGAATTTATTTTATACCACATATTCATGCGGGCTGTGAAACTTCAAATGAAAAAGCAAATGCAGATCTGAATCGTAGAATGGTTTGGCTTAGAAGGGACCTTGAAGATCATCTAGTTCAACCTCTATACCACGGGCAGGGACCCCTTCCACTAGACCAGGTTGCTCAAAGCCCCATCCAACCTGGTCTTGAACACTGCCAGGGATGGGGCATCCACCACTTCGCTGGGCAACCTGTTCCAGTGCCTCACCACCCTCACAGTGAAGGACTTCTTCCTTACATCTAATCTAAATCTACCCTCTTTCAGTTTAAAACGGTTACCCCTTGTCCTGTCACTACAGTAAGTAGTGAAGTAACAGAGACACCTACAGAGAAGGGGGACGTTGCCCATGGAGCTGCCTAGAGTAATAGCAGTGCTGATTTCTGTTCAGATCAGCAAGGTAGAACTAAGTGAAATTAAATCAGCACTACTTTTGCAGAAGAAAAAGAAGTATTTATTAAGGTTTTCAACTTAACTATGCTTTTTCTGTCTCTGCACAGAATGGGAAGCTCCTTCAGAAGGACTCACAGCTGGAGCATACAATACAACTACTGCAAATAATGGAACCACTACAAAGGGTAAGGATTTTTTTTAATGTCATTTAAAACTCTTCAGATTCATGCATAGATTCTCATGAACTACTTCTCTTTTAACAGATTATGACAGCAAAGGGGGCAATTTTTTTGGCAAAACTTTGAGTTCTGGAGAAGCCAGCCTGATACTCACAGCCTTTTTTTTCATTGGACTTATTCTGCTGTCAACAGTATTAATCATCTTCTGGCTCATCACCCGCCAAGGAAGCAGGATCCATTACATGGCTCTGCATGACAAAAGTGCACTTCTAACAGATTCCCCGTAAATCCCCACTTTTAGCACTATTCACAGAGCCGCACCGGATTTCATGACATGCTGCTAATAAAACTGGAGCAAGACATATGCTGATAGTCCTACCCCGTAGCCAGTGCTCACAAGAGCAAACATGAGCTGTAGCGTTCGGCTCCAAGATCCACGTACCACCCATCACCATTTCCACTCCTCTGGAGTTCAGTTGAGCTTTGTCCAAGATCAAATTTGGCAGCCGAGCAGGGCAGCACACCTCTTGGCATCCACAGCGGCTGCACAGGGTTTCCACAGGAGTAAGGAGTGGGCAGTATGGCATCCATGCGCTCTGTGCAGAAACACGGGGTTCACATTAAGGAATAAATACCACCAGGGACTGTTTTAAGCGTGCCGGCTTCCGAAGGAGCAGGTGTTAATCTGGAAGTCCCCGTGTTTTCCCAAAGTCTGGCTCAATAAATTCACTGACATTTAAGCAATTCTCTTTTTTTTTCCCTGCTAAATGAGGAAACTGTGCACTGGGGACAGATTTTTAAAGGCATTTAGGGACCTACCAATATATTTTAGCACCTGATGGAGTTCAGCAGTGACCCTGTTATTATTTTCTAACAGCTTTTGTTAATCCCTTTAAAAATCTAGCCCTGAGCAACCTCTGAGAAAGTTAGTTGACTTTGTAATTGCTGCTTATTGTGGTCCTGATTCTGTACCTCTTCTTTGCACCAAGTAGCACCTCACTCCCCACCTGTAATGAAGCCATCAGGAGGCTGATCTTTGTGCTCTGCAAGGAAGACAGGCAGAATCAGGCCACGTTTAACGATACTTGAATGTTTATAGCTCATTTTTAATTAGATAATGCTCATTCTTGCCTGCTCACGTCAGCTACCGCTCTTGCAAAGGAATGCCAGAACAAACAGGTCTGTGAAACTGTTTGTCCAAAATTGATTTTGAATGTAAATTCAAGTTGCTGGGTTTTTTTATTTTATTTTTTCCACTTCTGTGTTTTGAAGTATGTTCAAGTGTAGGAAACTTTACTGCCCATCATTCTTCTTGAGCTTAATGGTGTCCTGGATTGATGTCCAGTTAACCAGTATGTTGAAGTTTCTTGGATATTTTTCAGTTATTTCTCGATTCTTTGTTTTCCCCAGTCATTTAAGAGCACACACGTGAGGTAGAACTGCAGGACTGAGCCCAAACAGAAGTTACACCATAGCAATAAACACCTCTAGACTCATCCTCTAAACCTTCCCTTTGAGCTGACAAAACCAGATGATACTCTAAGCCATCCCATCTTTCTGTTTTGTAAACATTAAAATTGAGGTCTCCTGTTCTGTGCAAAAACACTGTCTGTCTGTGCAGAACATTTGCTCTCTGTATACCTACAAAATTAAAGCCTTTCACTTAAACATACGCTATTAATAAAGGAAATTATTTGGTACTTTCCTTTTAGAGTAGCTAATGTGTCTGACTTTTTAGAAACAGAATCATAAATACCTTTTGACCATAGAAACTAGCCAGACAAAGTGATTACAATGACAATAAAAATCTGGTTATTTGTATGAACCTTCTGGCACAGTTCATTTCGCCTGGCATGCTTCTCAGCTGGATGGCAGCTGTGAAACAAGAACGAAGCCTCCAAAGGTCCTCAGGGCCTCAGGATGTCACCACTGCTTGTCCAGGCGACACAGCCTGCCACAGAAAGACAGCGTGAAGCATCACAGAAAGCAGAAAGCATTGAGTTTACCACTGCCTGCCCCATGGCCAGCTGTGCCCCGACACCTGTGTTGAAGGACAGCATCTGTGTTGGGCTGAAGCACCGGTGGGAACAGAGTAAAGCAACAAAATGAACAAAAGAACAAAACGAAGAAGTTACCAGGGCAGGTGTGTTCTCCACAGAGTGCTACAGGCCCCCGAGTATGACAAATCTGGATTATGAACTTGGGTAGCAGCTGGCAACTGCCCTAGCACCAAAAGCTTGGAAGGTGACAAATATACAATCGACCTTTAAAAACTTCCCAGAGGAATAAGCAGCTCTGACACTCACATAATGCAAGCTGGCTGAAACTGTTTTTTTAAAAAAAACCCCACAAAACAAAACAGAAAAGTGTCCAAAGGAACAGAACAGATCATGGAAGAATCAATGCTTTCTTTTTACTTAAAGAAAATTGTGCCTCGGCGAGGTTTTTGAAGGATTCAACATATAGATAAGAGACCTGGATGAATATAGCCTACTTACATTTCCATAAGGTGTTTGAGAAGGTCCTTAGTTCAAGCTTCTTAAGGAAATGAAATCACCATGGGATGACAGGAAGGGTCTGTGGAGGTTAAATAACTGGTTAAGAGACAGGAAAAAGTGGCCAGATTTCTTGTTGAAAGTCACTCACGGGGTGCTGCATGGACCCTTGCTCTTCACTATTTTCTGTCAGTGGTGTGAAAAAGGGTGACCAAGTTGAGTGACTATCATAAAGATGTGTAGCATGAAAAATGAGTGATGATAAAATTCAGGACTGATACATTTACAGCAGTACTTGTGGAAGAGAAGCGATCCTAGCCCTATGTGCATCATACTGTCCAAGCATCTCAGAAATGGGATCTTATCTGTAATAGTTTAATGGCAATGTTAGTGCTTTTTGGTGGGCAGAAAGGCAAGTGAATGTTAGGAATCAGTAGGAATTAAGAACAGAGCGAACCAGAACACAAGTTGGTACTTGTGTGCGTAAACGCCTGGGGCACCTGCATCTCGAACGCAGCGTGAGCCACATCCCCGGTCCAGCCGGGAGAGGACACGGCAGCACGAGAGCAGCGCAGAACGAAGAAGGAAGGGAATCGGTGTCGTAGAACAGTTTCCAT